AAATTTTATTTAATTAAAAAAATTAAATGGTCAAATAAATCAAAAATTTCACTCAAATATTAATTTTTTTTGCCATATAAGCATGACGTGGTAATATTTTGACATCCAAGCAGCCAAGCATAAACGGCAGTTAAGTTGGCGTGAGAAGAAGGACTTAATTGCTTTGATAGCAGAGTTCAAGGGCTTATATGCACCAATTAAAGTTAAGGGGCTTAATAGCGATTCTGGGGTTGTTCAGGGGCCTAACTTATGGTTTTGCCTATTTTTTTCTAAGATTTCGAGGTAATGGTTTTTTTATTGACTTAATATATTTAAGTTAATTAATTTTTTTAAGAATTAAGTGAAAATTTCAACATAAATTTTAACTTATAAAATAACAAATTTAATTTTTAAAATAACATTTTGTTAATATCCAATCCCATGATTTACTTTCCTTTTCTTTCACAACTGAAAAAGAAACAAAATAATTTATTTCAAATGAGCTTGTGGGGTTGGAAATTGGAATAACAGCCTCAAATTTTTTTAGAATGAATTATGAATTCTTTCCCTTCTAAACGAACCCTAAACAAACAGTATTAACATCAAATTAAAAGAATTGCTCCCATTTCAAATGTCATACCGACTCAATTAACAATGAATCTACTTCATTAAAGAAGCAAGCAAAAAGGAACAGAAACTGTACCTTTTTCAGTGACGAATTCAACTCTCAAATTTCTTCCTCTCCTCTTTCGTTTCTAATTCATCCTCCCTTCCGACACTGCGACTGTGGTTTTCCTTTCCCTTTTCTTCCATTTCCAAGTTTTTCCTTTTCCTATTTTGTATGGATTTCTCTCTACCCGTGTACGATTCCAGATTTTTCTAAATTCAGAATGTTTTTTTTTTTACGTAATAAGAGAATGGTTAACCTTTCCCTTTCTTCTTTGCCGCGAATTTAACTGCGCCACTTCTCTCCAGAATTTAGTATTGGGCCTGTTCAAATGGAGAAGCTGAGGTTTCCTGTTGGGCTTTCTAAGCCCAATTTTATTTTTCAAATTCAAACGTAAAGCCCGATTTGTCTTTCCCACATCTTATTTTCTGTTTTTCTACGTTAATAACATTAATTAATTAATGGATTATCTATGTTACCGTTCGGATTGCAGCATATTATAAAATTAAGATCTTTAAATGAGAGGAATATCTAATATTGAAGTTTTTTTTTTTAATTTAAATATTATTATTTTATAATTCAATATGATCTAAATTGTAAAATAATTTTTTTAATTAATTAACAAAGTTTTATGTGGTAAATAGTGGGAAAGATCGATTATCAATAAAACAGAGGAATGAAGATCACAATATTGTTCTCTTTATACTCAAAAAAAAAGGAGACCTTCTTAAAGTGATATAGATCGTAACTAAATAAGTATATCAATGAAATAA